CTGCCTGCAAAAATAGTAGACTCGCCCACTTTAAGGGCATTTAAATGATCATTGGATAAACATATGGATGATAATGGAATAGTTTAGGTTAGATGGGCTTCAGATAGGTTTCACAGGTCGGCGCAACATCGAGGGCCGAAGGGCCTGTACTGCGCTGTAATGTTCTATGTTCTATGTTCTAAGGGTTGTATTAGTTGAAACAGATAAAATCAGAAACAAAGTAATGCTTTGCAGCCTTGGAAGAAGGGAATTAAGAGGCAACTAAGGAAGAATCTTGCAAGGAGTAAAGCAAAGTAAAATGCTAAACACTTGTAAGTTAAACCATGATCTTGTACTATTCTAAGTATGAATCAAATTCTGTAATAAAATGATAAAGAGAGGCAGTAGGAGACATCCTACCCGTGTCTCTCCAAGAATGGATTTGAATAATCGGTACTTCACTGGATATGATTTGCTGAAAGCAACAACAACAAGCAATGATATTATTGCTTAGACATGAGCAAGACATTGGCATTCCAGTTCTGTCACTTGTTACTGAGGCATTTTGCGAATGTTAGTGGTGTTTGGAGATGTACAAGGTTTTGAAGTATGCAGGCACTGGCTCAACTTTCCTATGACATGTCAGCAAATGCTATGGCAAAATAAATATCCAAACAATTTTAAACTATTTGTGAAGCACTGACCTGCCCCTCACCCCACTCTGATGTTGAAGGGTGAGGAATGGTTGTAAGGGAGACTGTAACTTGGGAAACGATGCATGTGTGCTAACACTGTTTGCTCACATCCTCCACATTTCTTTCATTGCTGCGATCTCCTGATTGTCGAAAACTGAACAACTTCAGAAGGTAGATTTGCCTCCTCCTGTTCTGAAGGAGCACTTGGGCAGATGATAGGAATTTAAAGGCACTGAGTTAAGGCAATTGGATTGTACTCCATCATCTATATGAAACATTTCCATCATATTCTTTATGCAGTGTTTGCCGGAACAAATTGTTGGGAGAGCAAAAGCATCCATATTTTGATTGTTTCTGAATGGTCAGTGACCGTCAGCTTTTGATAATTTTACAGAGTGATTTATTTTGAAGTCACTTTGAACTTTATCCTCCTGCTAGCTCATTTCCACCCCTCAGTACCTAGCATCTGATTGGTCAATAGTTCTGGCTGCAAGCCACCTAAAATTCACCTTTGAGATAATTCCAGTACAATCATATCTATAAATCCACAGAGATGTCAAACTGTCTGTTTTCTCTATCTTGGGTGCCTCTCTGTTTTGGAGTGGAAAAGAGCAATGTGAAATCACAGCTGAGAAGATTTTCTTATAGAACAATATTTTGATCTCTCAAACAGAATCAGAACTGGAAAAATACTGATCTAAATTTCTCAAAATTGTTTTTATCTTTTATTACTCTGCCAGGGGAATCAGCTCTGGAATCAAATCTAGTGAAGTACCAAATATTCAAATCTGTTCCTGGAGAGACACAGGTAGGATGTCTCCTACAGACTCTCTTTATCATTTTATTACAGTATTTGATTTGTATCTAGAATAGTATAAGATCATGGTTTAACTTGCAAGTGTTTAGCATTTTACTTTGCTTTTCTCCTTGCAAGATTCTTCCTAAGTTGCCTCTTAATTCCCTTCTTCCAACGCTGCAAAGCATCACTTTGTTTCCGATTTGATCTGTTTCAACTGATTACAACCCTTAGATGATTACTTCTTATGAATTGTGCTGCCTTAAGTTTGGGACACTGGGTTGTGTCCAGCGCTTACAAGAAACTGTTCCCTTAGTTTGTACTTCTCCACTCTTATCTCACCTGAGACTAACTATTGTCTGACTCTTGGATGTTCCAATAAACTTTTATTGATGCAACATTGTACATAGTATGGATTTCTTTCATACTGCTGTCTAGTGCAGATTATTCCATCCTCTCTTCTCAGTCTTGATAGCATGTGATTGCTGATATCAATGCTATATTACCTTATATATCATCATGTCACTAACATAGGCATTTTCAATCCTGCAATCCAGGCTAGTGATTAGTAAACTGACTTTTGCACTGTCCCCAGGACTTTGAATGGAATCAAACTTATCACTGGTTAGAACTATGACTAAGCATTTGTGATTTTTACTTTACTGATGAGGTATTCCATCTCCATTTTCTGTTCACTTTTTTGTTTACCACTTACTCATATAAGCATATGCTGTCCCCAACCTGTTTCAACTTCTCTAACTGTCTTGGCATATTTCGTTCTGCAGCTGTCTCTCTAATTTAGAATGATAAAATCAGAGAATTTTTCAGTCCTGATAGAAGACGTTTAGCCCATAGTGTCTGTACCAGATCCCAAAACAGCTACCAACCAGTCCCATATTGCAGCCCTATCTTCATAATCCTCAAAATTCATTACATTCAAATATAAATTAATCCTTCTTTTGAAACTTCCTATGGAATCTGTTTCCACCAGTCTCCCAAGTAGGACATTCCAAACCATAACAACTTTCTGAGTAAATAAGTTTCTCCTCATCTCACTCCTATCTCTGTTGCTGTCAGTCTTGAAACTGTGACCCCATGTTGCTGACATCCTAACTAGTGGAAACAGAATACCTTTACTTACCCTGTCAAAATTGTTCAAAGTTTTGAACACCTCAGTGAGTTCACCTCTTAATCTGCTCCAAGAGAATAAGCCCAATTTCTTAATATCTCTCCTTGTATCTAAAATCCCTCATTCTTGGTATTATTCTAGTAAATTTCCATTGTTAGATTCTAGTAAATCTAACAATGATTGTTAGATTTCTATAAGAGAAGATGGGCCAAACATATCAGCCTTATTCTCTTTAACTTCATTCTTTTTAGTTAACCTTTTGAACATTGTATCCAATAACTAACCCTCCAAAACATCTTCTTGTTTCATAGACTCTTTTCCATCCTGTCTAATTCTAAGAGCTTGAGATCTAGTCACTGCCCAGTCAGGAAACAACCCAAGATATTTCTTCTGTAAAAATTTCCTTTAGTTCCAATGGTTGTTCCACCACCTTTGGTGAGGCTGATGTTGTTGAACCTGCTAGGTAATTCCCCAAAATGAAATCAATTTGTTCTTTGTTCTTTCCAATTCCTTTTATAGTAATTTGTTTCACTCCTCTCACTATAACTTCTCCATTTACTAAGTAATTCTTTAATTTAATGTTGTATAGCGGGACTGGTTTGTAACTTCCATGTATGCCTCCAATTAACATTTTCTCCTTTATTCACACTTCTGGATATGAAATAGCACCATCAGTCAGCATTAGTGACTGACTTATTCCAGTGTCTCTCAATATCTTCATTGGTTTAATTCCTTGATTTGAGGCATAAGGGAATACCTCCTTTTTGAGATAAAATACTCAGAACCTCCAGTGGCCTGATTCTCCTGGTCAAGGTTCAATAAAGAATTTTCATGACTGCCCTGAACCATCCCTTCTTCCTTAGTATATTCTCAGGAAACATGTTCCTTTTGTTATACTACTATAGTTTTAATGTGTATTTCCTTTCCTGAAGCCCTTTTTCCAAGAATTCTTTAGGCATTCTGACTACTGCAATGAGTGTCCCACTTAATACCAGCAGCTGGTTTTGGTATGCCCAGTCTTATTATAATGGAAGCATCATTTCTCTATATCGCATTTTGATTCTAACCTTTCTCCTTTATTACTTTGGTACTCTCCTACCTGATCTCTAAAACATGTGTGTCTGCCATTGATTTAAATTCCTCCAATTTCTTTGTGGATTTCCACAATTTCTTTGTGAATTTTCCCTTGTGGATTTCTCTCCATCTTTAACTATTTGGGCAAAATATCATAGGTGTCTGCCAGAACTGCTGTTTCTCTGATCTATAAGATTTGACAGTTAGCCAAATAAAACTTCAAGTTTTCAGAGATGTTATTTCTGAATTCTTCCATGATCATAATTTCACTTACATACTCAATGTTTTTCTCAATCTCATCCAACATTTCTTTCTTCCCTGCAAATTCTGCAAATAACTGATTGGGTTTCTTTCTTGTGGTCCTAAATGTTAATTGGTAAACATCAGCACAAGCTCATAAACATTGAGTGTTGCATTTTTGACAGTTTCGTACTTCGTAGATGGTTCTTCTGAAAAACTGGCATAAAAGGTCACACCCACAACTGTCAAAATACTTTGTAATATTTAGTTCCAATCATCCTTTGGCCATTTCATCTGTTCAGCTATCTTCTCAAATGAGGTAAATTACTTTTGTACTTAATCCTCTGTAAATATAGGCACAAAGCTGATTCTTATTTAATTTTTTTTAAAGTATTTTTTCATCTAGGCACAACTTATGTTTAAATTTAATCCCTCATTGGAATGAAAATCATTCTCCAAGCTATTATCTCCTTGATCCTCTTTTTCTTGAAACTTTTTTTTGACCAATTCAAGTAGCCTGTATTATCGCCTATCATTTTAGAGTTGTGATTTTTAAAATTCCATTGCTTTCTTCAGGGTTTGAGTGAAGACTTGTAGCTCGAGTGTTGGCTGTAGATGTTGGTGTGTTCGCCGAGCGGGGAGGTTTGATAGCAGACGTTTCGTCCCCTTACTAGGTGCTATCCTCAGTGCTGTGGAGCCTCCTGTGAAGTGCTGTTGTCTTGTTCCAGTTAGAATTTATATGGTCTCGTTTTGGCTGCTTCCAGGAGGTGCCAGTTCTGCCTGTGTTGTGGTAGTGTGGTAATGAACAAAACGGACGATGTACAAAAAGCTGATGAACTACTTGCAGATACACAAACCTACCAACAGAGGGAGTGGGTCTCCACACCACAGCTAACAAACAGAATACCCAATACACTATGGAACCTGCACAAAACAGGATAAATAACAAAAACAGAATTACAGAGGATGAAACCGGAAGGCAACGACACCCCAAGATTCTACGGCCTGCCCAAGGTCCACAAGCCTGATATACCCCTCAGACCAATTGTGGCTCTATCAGGAACTCCATCACACAAATTAGCAAAGGAACTACAATTAAACATGTAATCACTAGTTCAAGACATTCCATACAATCAATACAAGAATTCCTGGACAACATCAAAAACACTAAAATAGACAAAGAAGAAGTGATGATCTCATTCGATGTAACAGCATTGTTTACATCAATCGACAGAAACCTAGCCAAAGAAACCATGGCCAACCTACTAGTCGAACATAACAGACGACAAAACGAGGAACAGATCAACAAGCACTGCATACTCAGTCTACTGGACTAATGTTTAACAACACACATGACATTCAGCAGCAAGATATATGAGCAGATCAACGGGATTCCCATGGGCTCACCCATCTCCGCACTGATAGCTGAGGCAGTCATTGCAAATGTTGGAGCAAAATGCCCTCCCACAGATCCAACCCAAGCTCTCGATCTGATATGTGGATGACACTTTTGTAATTATGAATAGAATTGAAATTGAGAACACCCACTGACTCATCAACACCATACTCACAGGGATCAAATTTACTAGAGAAGAGGAAAACAACAACAAACTCCCAGTCCTGGACGTGATGGTGGAAAGATAAGAGAACAGTGACATCAGTACAAGAGTGTACAGGAAATCCACACATACTGACCAGATCTTAAACTATCACAGCAATCACCCCAACTCACACAAGAGGAGCTGCATTAGGACCTGTTCACTGCAGCACACCCAATCTGTAGAAGGAAGAAGAAGAACACCTCGACAAGGTCTTTACCAGGAATGGATACCGCTGCAACTTCATCCACAGATGCCTAGCCAACAGGTAACACAACCAGGATGCACCAAAAACCGAAACAATAGCCACCATACCATATATAAAAAACACCTCAGAACTGACAGCCAGACTACTCAGACCACCAGGAATCATGACAGCACACAAACCAGCAGCCACACTAAAACAGCAACTGATCTGAGTTAAAGATTCAACAGATACCATGGACAGGACACATGTGATTTCCATGCAGAGACAACACTATGTGGGACAAATAGGCAGACAACTAGCAACCCACATCCACGAACAACAGCTAGCATCTAAATGACATGACGAGACGTCCTTTGTTTCAATAAACACAGATGAGAAAAGCCACACTTTCAACTGGGACAACACTACTATCAGTAGACTAGCCAGACAGTGGATAGCCAGGGAATTCTTGGAGGCTTGCATTCATTCGCGGACTCCATCAACAAACACATTGAATTAGACCCGATATACTGACCATTACAACGCACAGCCGGAACTAGCACCTACCGGAAGCAGCTAAAACCTGACCAAATAAATTCGAACTGGCACAGGACAACAGCACTTCACAGGAGGCACAACAGCAATGAGGATGTCACCGAGTAAGAGGACGAAATGTCTGCTATCAAACCTCCCAGCTCAGCGAACACACCAACATCTACATCCATTGCTGTCTGTCGTTCCTTTTTTACCTGACTTTCTCTTGATCTCATTTTTTTCTCTCCTC